GAACATTCAGAGATCTCAGTGTTTCAGTGGTGATTAAAATAAATATATATATTTTTTATTTTATTTTATTTTGGCAGCTCCCTCCTGCAGGGGTCAAAACAACGAGCAAACTTTCTCAACTGTTGCCCTTCCTGACGTAACCCGGGCTCAGGATTACAAGACGGTGGCACTGACCACCGAGCACAGATAAATTTAAATAAGAAAAAAGTTATAAAAAACATAAATCAGTGGAAAATACTCCTGATCGAGCTGAACGTTTTGATGCACGAACGGTTAAAACAGTACAAAGTATCAAAAAGTAGTTCCACTTAAAATGAAACGTTGGTCACCAAGATTACAAGGAAACCACGAACGTATCTATGGAGGTCACGTCCCGTGCTCGTCCTCCTCTCAGAGACAGAGAGGACACTAACGAGGAAGAACTGCAAACACCTGGGAGACAATGAGGATCAGGTTAGAGTGGAAGGAGTCTGATTACAGGAGGGGGAAACCCTGGGGAGGACTGAACCGATGACACGGTAAACACAAGAAACTCAAAAGACGAGAGAATACAACACGAAGGGACTAAAACTAAAAGATGAACGCAAGGAATAAAGCCGACTACGACACTAACTTTAGCTAAAATCACCCGTGAACCATCAAACCTCCCTTATTCCAGTCCCAAAATAAAAATAAAAGGCTTTACAATGGGCTGGATGTATTCTTCCATCCGGTGATGTCGTTTTAATAACCTCCACCTGGCATCAAGGTGACACCGAGTATGTTCAAACAGAATTATGGGAATTTGATCATATCTTTTTATTGCTTGGTTTATTTGTTTATTCACACCGCTCGTTGTTAGTCATAAAAAAGCTGCTTATAATCTGAGAGATGTTTTGCCGTGGTGGGAAACTTCCTGCACCTTCATTTTTGATACGCCTCTCAAAAGGCGGACGTATTATACAGCCTCAGTCTGTTGTCCCGTCCATAGTTTCTGAATCTCTCAAGACAATTTGATTAAACTTCATACATGTCGTGTAGCATGTACTTTCGCCACAGCAGCGTCAAGGTCACAAATCAAGGTCAAACAAGGTATTTGCTTGTCTGGGCTGTTGCTGTGTAATAGTTCGTCAACGAGAGTTGAATGTGCCGTTAGTAAATATCCTGGGAAGCTGCAGAGCTCTAAGAGTGGATAAGTGTTTTTTTTTTCCACATTGAAATGTGTTGTTAGTGAATGTTTCACATGAGTAGTTATATTTTGGTATGCCTGTCGGAGGCTGACTGCCACAACAAATAAACGTAAGCGGAGCCCTGTGGGAACACGATGGCTGAAGGCCAAGGTTTGATGTCAGAGGGGGTGCAGTTATCGGAGCGCTCTGCACTCCATCGTGAGGTCTGGGTTGATGTATTGATCTGAGAAAGACTGGTTTCATTTGTGCTCTGCTGGATTTTATGCCTCTGTGTTCATCCTTAAACATCTTTAATTCCTTTTTTAAAGAGGGCAGGAAGAGTTTATTCTCTTTAAAGAGACGGGGACCTGGATTTCAGTTTGTCTCACCACAAAGACATAACTGTGTCTCGATCTACTCTAATACCCGAGTGTCACTGGGCGGTCGCCCTCGTTAGTTTGGAAACAATTATTTTGAACCCCTAATGTTATTGTCCGGTCATGAATCAAAACCATTGATCCATCCATCCATCTAGTCAGCAACAACAACGCAACTCAAAACATGAGAGGTACCGACTCCAGTTTGGTGTGTGGCTGCATCAAGACATAAGAAAGGCCACTATCAGAAATTGGGTTTGACATAAAATTATAAAAATTAAATAAAATTGTATACACTACCTGGCCAAAAAAAAGAGTCGCCACCTTGATTTAACTAAGCAAACCGGTACGAGCCTCCTATTGGATAATTACTGCATGGGCGATTATCTTTCAGCTGCAACAAGTTATTTAACCCCAACTGGTGCAATGAGTTGCTTCTCATTTCTTCAACAACCACGTTGAAAGACACGTCGCGTGGTCGTGGAAAAGATGTCCGTCTGTTTGAGAAGGGTCAAATCATTGGCACCAAGCAGAAAAAACATCTAAGGAGATTGTAGAAACTACTAAAACTGGGTTAAGAACTGTCCAACGCATTATTAAAACTGGAAGGATAGTGGGGACCCATTGTCTTCGAGGAAGAAATGTGGCTGGAAAAAAATCCTGAATGATCGTGATCGGCGATCACTTGAACGTTTGGTGAAATCAAATTGAAGAAAAACAACAGTAGCACTCAGGGCTACGTTTAATAGTGACAGTAAGAGCATTTCCACACACACAATGTGAAGGGAACTCAAGGGATTGGGACTGAACAGCTGTGTAGCCTTAAGAAAACCACTAACCAGTGAGACTAACCAGAAAAAAGGCTTCAATTTGCTAGGGAGCATAAAGATTGGACTCTGGAGCAATGGACGAAGGTCATGTGGTCTGATGAGTCCAGATTGACCCTGTTCCAGAGTGATGGGTGCATCAGTGTAAGAAGAGAGGCAGGTGAAGTGATGCACCCATCATGCCTAGTGTCTAGTCATCAATGCAAGATCTTGGTGAAAAATGAATGCAACACTGGATGGAAACAGATCTTGTGACGTTGCAGAAGCTTATCGAAACTCAACTCAACTCAACTCAACTTTATTTTGGTAAATTAGCATTACAGAAAAAGGAAAACAATATAGACTACTTTTTGACAAATCAATAATTTACCAAAAAAGGAATAGGCTGAAGCCAAGGCTTATACTTGCCTACCCTGTTCATAGACTCAGCAGTCTTCAATAATAAAATATATCTACTGTCCATATATATACATACATTACATATACACATATCTATATAAAAATATGTCTGTGTATATGTATAAGCATACTTACATTACATACATACATTGTTAAACACTACATATATACATCTACATAACAGTATAAGCTTTTATAATTTTACCTTTTATGGACCTTTTAAAGCTCAACAAAAAAGCACATAATTTGAGTTCATCATTCAATTCATTCCACAATTTCACACCGACAACTGAAATGCCACAGTGAATGCATGCCATAACAGTCCAACCAAATATTAGTGTGTGATTTTTTTTTTTTTTGGTGGCGACTTTTTTTTTTGGCCAGGCCGTGTATATGGTAGCCAAGGCCACCATTGGCCACCCCCTGGCTCTGCTCCTGGTTGTGGTTAAAATTGCTCCCTCCACTCATCAGGATCCATCACTCTGCGCTGCCTTGGACAAGAATAAAAGAAAACGTCCTCTGTTCTTCTCCACAGTGTGACTCCTACCCACTTGAATATCTTGCACCAAAAACATTAAGGTTTAATTTCACCCCTGCTCAATTCTAGTCCAGAAAAACACTCATCTCCAAACCTACAGACATTCACCATTCAAATCCCTCTACGATGGGGCACATTGGCGTGCGGCTTGTAGTTTTAGTAAAATCCATTTTTGTGTTGGCTAAAGTCCGTTAGCTGATCGTTTCGTCTTCAGCTGGGTTGACTCTGAAGTTAAGCTGTGTACAGCCAATAATTGTGTTCTCCTGCAACTTATGAAAGGATGTAAAGAATCCAGCAGAAGTCTCAATACATGTCATTTGAAGGAATGTTGCGTGAACGCTGTAATTATTTACACACTCAAAAGCATCATATGTATTAATGCAGTAACTCCACGTGCAGATATTCATATTTTCCCACATTTTTGCATCTTTAACAAGTCGCCTTCAGTTGTGAGAAACAGACTTCCAAAGCAATTAAGGCCCTAAAGGGACAGGGTGAACCAAGCTGGTGACTTTAAATACCCATATTCATGCTCCTTGGTACACATAATTCAAAATAACTTTACGCAAACCAAGTTTGTTGTAAATATTATTTAGGACCGATATACACATGAAGCAAAATAACTTGATCAAACACAACTAGCACTTTACGTCCAAACATCCTTAGATGGTCAAACAGAGAGGGGTCTATATTTAGTAACGGTCTTTGTTCTGCTGCTTGATCCTCCTCTCTGAAAATGTGGCTCAACAGGAGATTCTCCTTCCTGCAGCATCATGTTTATCTTCGGCCACAGCTGCTGTGCAGGATTTTTACTCCGAGAACAGAAGAAAAAAAAAGGGAGATGCGTACGATTAGAGCAGAATGGTTTCTCTTATTGAATTAAAAAGAAAAGCTGGAACAAACTGAGGAAAATACAGATATAAAACCCAGTATGTGTTGGAAATTATTAGTTTTATGTCATTATGTTATCGCAAAGCTCATGCAGTGGAACAGTTAATTCGATGGGGGATGGGAGTTTGTTGCCAAGAAGTCACTGAATGACATTTAAAGCTCAGCTGGATGAAGGATAAACTCTGCTTCCTCCTTTACAAATGCTCTGCTCTTTTATCACAAATTCAAAAAGTGTGTTTGAAACACTTTCTCAAAAGCATTTTCTCACAGGCGTGTCGAGCGCGTAAAGCTAAAGGCGGCTTTAACAAGGATGAACCAGGTCTTCTGGACCTAGACCTAGATTATCCACCTGGATTATTGAGCATGCATCAGGACAAAAGCTGCTTTAATTAAATTAAAAAGTGTCAAATGCTTCACAGTGCGTGACCTTTTCACTGTTAAACTGCAGATTCGGTTGAGTTTTTCAACCTTTATTTAACAGGAGTTCTTTAATTGGTGACATTTTACCAATGTTTTAACAATGAAGGGGGCCACAGGTTAACCTGACAATGGTTAGCATCACAGAATGGTTAGCTGTTAGCATCACATGACTGTTAGCATCATGTGACTATTAGCTGTTAGCATCACATGACTGTTAGCTGTTAGCATCACATGACT